GTTAGCTACCTTTGACTTTAGTTCAGTAGAGATTGGCAATTCCAGGACTTCCTGAATATCCCAAACTATATTTAATTCCATTCAGATCCTCTTACAGTTTACGCCACGCACATCAGATATTTTTTGCTGTCCCAAGAGTCAAAAAACAAATTAGAAAACACTAGGGGTGTACTGATATCCAAGTCTCAAGATACAATATTGTCACGGTATGAACCTCATGATACGATATTTATTGCGATATTGAGGGAAAGCTCACGATATGGTGGAGAGGCTCACGATTAGGGATGTACAATATCCAAATCTTGGAGCTGTTATTTTTTCATGTAATCTACACTGAAATGGAACAAAGGATCATGGTCTATGCAGTTCCCTCTGTCTTTTTTGCTGCACCATAACTCTTAATTTAAGCAAACAGACTTGTATTTCAATATATTGTGATGGTCCTCGATATTATTGTGAGAATTTTGACGATATGATATCACGATATTTCGGTTATTGTTACATGCCTAGAAAACACTCATTTAAATATAACCCTCCCTTTGATTGGAGCAATCTTCCCTCATCTAGTCGTGCATTAAATTCTGTCCCTTCATTTAGAAATGCTCTGGTGCAATATTTACGTAATCCGTGTATTTAGTTTTGATCTTCTTGTTGAATTTAGTTGTTCATCTTGCTGTATTTTGAGACTGTATTTGAACTCTTGTCTTATTCTGTGTCATGTGTGAGTGTGTGTGTATGGTTGTGTTGATTTTTCTTGTTTTTGTTTTTTCTATGTTTATTTGAATTTATGTAGCTGACTGTCTGTCCCTACTGTATCTGTCTTCTGTTGTTATGACTATGAGGACCCCCTCGAAAACGAGATTGCGAGACATCTCAAGGGGCTTATCCTCCAAACAAATATATTCAGATTTTTTGGAAGTATATCACATCACTAGGTTATGTGTTTTCAGTTTGATAAAAATTCTGGAATGAGTAAGTGCAGGAGATTTAAGGCCTGTAGCCGATATTCGTAAAAAGTACAAATATCAGTCTATCTCTAAAACCTAACAAGTCTAAATTGGATCTTTTTCTGTCATCAGTAGAGGCGATTCACATTGTTGCTTTAATTGTTTAAAGGTGTAGGTCGATTATGTAACTTTTCTGAAAATGGATGCCACCTGCCCGCCTTGCATGGAGATGTTATTGCTTTGCCTGGAATGTTTCATAACGTGGGATTCATCATTTTATCGTTCACTTATTCAATTTTAGGTGTCATCCATCTTGTCTGTCTTATCTCACTTATCAAACAGTTTCACACCCATAATGCATTACTGTGTGGAACATTCCAAACAAAGCAGTAACATCTCCATGGAGACAAGTGGGTGCCAGACTCTCCACCAGAAAGGTTACCAAGTTCACCATTAAATGGACTCTTGTGAGCTTTAAGCCACGTTAGAATGTTGTTGCCTTCTCAAAACGTACCAGGAGTGTTTTGTTTCATTCACACATCTTTTGAGAAATCCTTTATTATTAGACTGTGTTCTTCTCCAAAGCTCTGTTCCACATTATGATGTCACGAATCTGTAGTTTTCAAGTTAACAACTACTTTTTACATTTTGTTCAGAAGATATTGCTAATTCCAAGGCTAAAATTAACCAACTGGTTCTAGTGAAGGTGTATGGAGTTTAAAAATACAGTGGAGCACTTCCTGTATTGCCACATGAAATGACAAGGTGGAACAGAGCTCAGCCTAAATATAGAGTGTTTGTGCGTTGTGTTGTGTGTGAAACAAAACACAACTCCGGGGGTGTTTTTGATGAGGAAACAATATAACATAGATCCGAAAATAGCATAATATGGGCCCTGTAATGATGTTAAAGTAGATCATTTGCTAAGAGAGATAACATGGTCACTTGCTGCTGTTTAGTCTGCCTACATTTTTCCACATGATCAGCACTTTTAAACTTGGAAAACTTTTAACGCACCAATAAACACTAAATAAAAAATAATGCCAAAACAAAATAGAGTCAGGAATGTAATGGTGCGTGCTATTTTGGCCACAACTTCAAAACTACTTCATAAATACTACCTTTTTTGTACTTTGAAACGTCCAACATGGAAGTTTCTGTAAAGTATCCAATCTTCCCCAAGTGCTAACCCTACACCACCTTAGCCATCCGAGTGCCTATAAATAATTACTCAAAGAAAAACAAACTGTCTCCTCCTGTTTCCATTCCGGCGTCTAGCGATCTTTGTGCGACTCCCAAAATAAACGTTTACATGATAATGCATAGGTCATTTTGTGTACACTTTTCATAACGTAAATAGTGTAAATAAATAATTTAATCTTGGTTAAACGCGAGTACAGAACATAAATGATCCTCCATACGTATCAGATATTCTTGATCACCTAATTTTAGCTCGGGATGACATGAGCAGAGTGGGATGCTCACGGCTAACATTTCCCTTTGCGGCCTCTGTTTATAGACATGAAAGCATTAATCTGTATGGGGGATATGATTATAAGACGGAGACGAAGAGCATTCCCAGCATTCCCTGTGGCCCGTTCAGACACAATGATATTCCCATTGATGTTTTCATTAGCGTGGATGCAGCCGCAGCAAGCGTAGGGTCACCCGACGTCCCTATTTTCCCGGGACAGTCCCAGTTTTGAGCCCTGTGTCCCCCGTCCCAGCAGATTTATCCAAAACTAGTGATTTGTCCCAGTTTTATACAAGAAATGTCCAAGGTGTCCCTATTTTTGACCAAGCTGATACCTGCCAACAGTAAAGAGAAGTATACGTCGTCATTTGTTTAGGTAAAATACAGAAAAGCTGCTTAAAAATGACCAAACGCAAAGAAAACGTGACTATACCGACTCATATTAGTGTCCAGTGCGTAACAATTTTCCTTAATTACACACTTGTTTCTCAACTTTATTATTACCAACTAGGGGTGTAACGATGTCCAAGTCTCACGGTATGAATCTTGTTACGATATTTATTGCGATATGGTGGGAAAGCTCACGATATGGTGGGGAGGCTCACGATTAAGGATGTAACAATATCCAAATCTCTCGGTACAATATTTATTGAGATATTTCGTGAAGGCTGCGAACAAAACTGAATATGCTACTTTTTCCTCTTACAATGAGACAAGACTTAACCCAAAGAACTAAGATTTAAAAGTGCTTAGAACTGTTATTTCTTCTTTCTGTTCTTTCTTATTTCTGCACTGAAATGGAACAAACGATCAAGGTCTATGTAGTTCCCTTTGTCTTTTTTTTTAGCTATTGCTGCACCATAACTCTTAATTTAAGCAAAGAGACTTGTAATTCGATATATTGTGATGGTCCATGATATTATTGTGAGAACTTTGACGATACCCGGATGATACAGCTTTTTATTTTGAAAATCTGGTCATCCTAAGCCAGTGTAGCACCAGGCAAAGCAGCCTACCGGCAGGAAGTGTGGGCATCTGTGTGGGGCTGGGTAGCTTTGGATTAGTTTGCGCTAGTCTAAACATGTGGCTTGTTTGATGTGTAAAGGTTCTGTGGGAATTGTTTGGGGAGAAAAATTTTGCTTCCTCATTTCGACTTGAGGTTAGAATACATATGCGTTGCTAGCGTGCCACTGATCCACACAGATGTACTTAGATTTGCCTTAAATATTGATTGTCTGTAATCAGTTGCTTTCAGGTAGTTTACGGATGTGTCAAATTTTCAGTTTTGGTTTTAGCACAGTTTTTTTCACCAACACTAAACAATACCTGTTTTTTCCATTCTTGGTAACATTGCTGCAATAACAACATATAATCAAAACACTATAATAAGACTCAGATCAGCTTTCTTCGAACCCACTGTTTTTTCCAAACAGTACCTTAGAGGTGTGGTCCCTGTTTTTTCACGCCTTAAAAACTTGAAAAACTGAACTACTTCATTTTGAATTGTTTGCAGCGGTCCTCACTTTCCTAGAATCCAAAAAGGAGTTTTGCAAAAGAAGAAACAGATCCGCATTGCAGTTCTTTGAAGCTCACAAATTTTAATTTCAGTGACACCACAATGTGACGTTTCAGGTTAAGCCCTTCTTCAGACATGTCAATCCTGTTTGAAAAAGGGCTTTACCTGAAATGTCACAAAGAACTGCAGTGCACATCTCTTTTTTTCTTTTGCTCAATTTTTGTCTTTGGACCCAGCACACAGTCGCAATTTTTGTTGAATGTGCATGTCTCTATCTGTAAGGAATAAATGCTGAGGAATAAATGCTTTATAATTCGATGTAGACAGCACACAGCAATCTCCGCTTTTCTGTTTTCCTCAATACTACATCCACAGATGTGCCTTTAACAGCCCCTAGACCTCCACTTCAAACTGGAACATGACCAAGTTGCATGATTCCAAATTAGTATAAAAATCAAGTTTGAAATTTTTGTATTGTGACATCACTAAGGAATAGACTTGATAATCAATATCAACTCTAATACCATGATGATGATGATGATAATAATAATAATAATAATAATAATAATAATAATAATAATAATAATAATAATTATTATTATTATTATTATTATTATTATTATTATTATTACATTCAGTTGTTTATAGACAATAAAATGTCATTTTCAACCTTAAAGTAGCACCTTTTTATATTACCAACTCTGTCATCCAAGTAGTTTCCATAGTGGTCCATGGGCATATACTAGTCTATGTGCTCTTATACTTGTTCTGATACAGCTCAAGATCATTCTAAATCTATTCTGGAAAGGTTCATTACTGTCCTGTGAATGTGACATTTTTAGTATTGGTACCAGCTCAAATGATGATCTAGTTTCAAAGCAAGTTTTAGTATTGATTTAGTATCTGATTTTCAATACTTGACAACACTTCTCCAAATAGGAGTTGAAAACTAAAAATCGGTAAATAATAATTGAAAGACTCTACTAGTGTCCAGTCTTTTCCTAGCCATCTCAGAATAAATGTTAATACAAAAGATTAACAGTCCATTCCTCTCATCTGTCAGGCCGCAATGAACCGCTGCGTAAGGACCGCCCCAAGTGGAAGAGCGACTACCCGATGACGGAGGGCCAGCTGCGCAGCAAACGAGACGAGTTCTGGGACACAGCTCCGGCCTTCGAGGGGCGCAAGGAGATCTGGGATGCCCTGAAGGCCGCAGCTGTGGCCCTGGAGTGCAACGACCACGAGCTCGCCCAGGCTATCGTGGATGGAGCCAGCATCACCCTGCCCCACGGTGAGCTCTCTGTGGGGGGTAAAGGAGTGCGGTGTCATGGGCCCAAAACTGGTTCAAGATGCAAAGATAGATGGGTTTTATTTTAACACTGGGCAGGCAATAATGTGAAAAGTTAGTTTAGGAGAATATAGAACCTTTAAAATTAAATCCATATTACTCCTATTTTTACTTTACTTAAACCTGCTTTGCCTCTAATGTTCCAAAATATGGCATTAAACTTATTCTATTTATTTACTTTCAAAGTCAGTCATTATTGCTTCAAAAAACAACTTGTATTGAAGTTATTGAGTTTTGGTTGTTTTTTGTTTTTTTTTCCTATCTCTGCTGTGTTTGAGTGCACCAGCAGGGGGAGTCGGTGTCTCTTGAGTTGTGCCTCTCTTGGTGATTTTCTATAAAATACAAAATTATGCAAGTGCCTTTACTTTAAATCAAACCAATAGCCAAAAAATCAGCCTCACATGCTAACTGATTTATTATATTTTTTATTTCTTTTGTCTCTAAATAATACACACATGAATAAAATAAACTGAATCCACACAATCATTGAAACTGCTTGAGTTTAATTTTCAAGTTGAGGAAAGTGCTGCAGTTTCAGACTAGGTGCTTTAAAACACTTGAAATTAAAATAGCTAAGCCTGATTATTGCTTTTGAACATTTTGGGCCTTCACCTGATTAGACATTACAGCATTTGGTCCAGTTGTAAGAGTATTTGTAGTGACACTAGTGTTTTTTTGTTTTTTTTCTGAAGGTACTTTGACAGAGTGTTATGACGAGCTGGGGAACCGTTACCAGCTGCCCGTGTACTGCCTGGCCCCTCCTGTCAACCTTATCTCCGAGCGCAGTGACGAGGAGCCCAGTGACAGCCCTGAGCCCCCCACTGCCCCCAAGAAGGAGTTCCAGCTCAAGGTACTGCACCCGCACCTCTGTCAGATCAAGTTTAGCTTTAATTCCACCAAGTTTACATTATAATTTCCCATTATTTGAAACCACCTACCATTCTTCCACTTCTCACTCCCCTTTTGCGCCCCCTGCAGGTGCGGCTGTCCACGGGGAAGGACCTGCGTCTGAGCGCCAGCATGGCCGACACCATCGGTCAGCTGAAGAAGCAGCTCCAGGCCGAGGAGGACATTGACATCGCCCACCAGCGCTGGTTCTTCTCGGGCAAACTCCTCACGGACAAGACGCGCCTGCAGGACACCAAGATCCAGAAGGACTTTGTCATCCAGGTCATCGTCAATCCGCAGGCTCTCAAAGCTCCCAAACTGTCCACCTCCGCTCCCGTGTCGGAATGACCCATCGGGAACTATATGCTGGAAAATTACGGTGGGACTCAAGTGCTGCTTTGAATCAGAAAACCTTTATTTTTCTAAGATTTGCTGCACACTATCTGAAGACAAGCGCAACGCACTTGTCATTTTGGCCTTGTGTCTGAACTCGCATTTAAAAAGTGCCAACAGAAGAATCTTATCTGTGAATCTGAACACCTAAAAAACAACTAAATTTCTATCCAAGGACACGACAAGGCCTCAACAATGACACTTTGTTTGTTTTTTTTTAAGAGGAAACGAGCTTTTTTGCACATTTGATGAAACTTTTGTGGTAGTTTGTGTGCCTTCTATTATCAAAAAAGGGTCCTAAAATAGTATGTCACTAATCTGTGTATATTTTTAGCCTTCTAATCTAAACCCCACTTTTTAATGATTTTGAATATGCTGACCGATTTTGGAGAGGAAATTCACTTGATACATTTTAAGTAGCTGAAAGACAAGACTGTTTTCTCTCCATTCATTGTAACTAAAGATAACCCCTTATATGCACAATAGAGAATTGCACCTATGAATGTAATCTTATACAATTTCCTTACCAGCATTTGTGTATGAGCTACAAAATGGCTGCTATACAATACAATACATTATCAAATTTTACCTCTAAAACACAGGGACATACATTTCATTCATAAAGGGATACATTACATTTAGTCCAGTGTTAAAACAAGTTTATTTTTGTACAATCATTACTTAATGGTGCAATGTAGCTTTTCTGGTAGAAGGTTCGATGCCTGCTTTTGTCCATGATAGGGTTATCGAAAATCAGATATTAATCGATACTAAAACTAGTATCGCAGCTCCCGTATTTTCCGGACTATAAGTATCCATAGTATAAGTCGCACCAGCCAAAAAATTTGCAATGAAGAAAAAACATATATAAGTCACACTTTTTGGGGAAATGTGTTTTGTAAAATCAGAGACCAGGAACCGACATTTCATCTTGAAAGGCAAGTTATAGTAATAACAGCAGAACAGAGAACAACAATAGGCATTAATATGTTAACATAACATATTAACAGTTATTCAGATAATTATAGCATAAACAACAGAACATAAGTTTACCAAACTCACGATCTCACTCCAAATCACTAAATCCATTGAATTCTTCATCCTCGGTGTCACTTCTGCACGACCACCGGACATAAACCATACATGCGTGAGGTAAACGGAGCTCAGCTTCCTCTTCTGCGTAACTGCGCATCAGTTCCAGTTAGAATTATTCCAGCCTTTCTGAATCCCGACAGGATGGTTTCGGTTGTCATTGAAGTTCAGGCTTTGTCGATTCATCCAGAGACTTCCAGGAAAGTTACATGGCGCACCCGCTGTGTTCTCCATCCCTGCTTTCCGCCAGTCAATCATAAATTTCTCGCTCACTCCAAACTTGCTGCTTGATTACTGTTTTCGGCTGAATATTTCACTATTTGCAGCGAGACAGCGGCTATTTCTACTGGAGGCATATGCAGTAGAGTGCGAAGTGACAGTGGTACAGGAGTAATAGTAGTACTACATACTGACACACGAGCCTAGAGCGCCCACTCGCGGCTGTCAGTCTGCAAATTTTAATATATAAGTCGCACCAGAGTATAAGTCACAGGACCACCCAAACCATGAAAAAAAGTGTGACTTATAGTCCGAGAAATATGGTAGATATAATTTTGAGCAAGTATAGATACTAAAAAAAAGTTACATTCACAGCACAGAAATGAACCTTTCCTGAATAGCTTGAGCTGTATATAGGCTCGTACCACTATGGGACCTCCCTAGACCACTGAGGAAGTACACAGATATACAGTAAAACCACATGGTAATACAAAAGAAAGTACTACAATTTAATGTTGAAAGTGACATTGTATAGTGTAAAGAAAGAGTGGTATAGTGGTATCGGAATCAGTATTGAGTATCGAGTATTCCTTAGTATCAAAAAACAAGATTGACATTTTAGTATAACGATAGCACTAGTCCATGGAGATGTTAACGCTTTGCCTGGAATGTTCCGCAGTATGGCATTAACTGCATATTACGCATCTACTCAATATTTTCAATATTGATGATAAAAATGCCTTGAAAAGCGCTTGTTTTGGCTGTGAGCGCACTTGCCTCTCCACAGATCTGACCTGTAACTTGGCATGATAGAGAAGATTAATGCCATAATGTGGATTTTTTTTTTTTACAGAGACAAGCAGAACCCTATACCAGAAAAGTTGCGTATTGCCTCTTTAATTTGTCATTTCAATACAGTGCCCAATATCTACCCACATATTTTTTAGGTCATAATTTTAGTGTTCCATACACGTTCGAGGGATATTTGAATCATATGCAAACTTGAATAAGCCTTGTTTTTTATGTGCAATACAGTAGACCTCATTTAGTGTTCCTGACAGGTATATCCACTTTTCAATGTTGCTGGAGTGAACATGTTGTGCCGGTGTACAGATCATATAATCACTTCTCGTTCTTTGGCCTTAAAAGTTACGTTTCTGTTTTTAGTTCTAGAGTATTATAACGTTAAAAAAATATATTCAGCTTTTTCAGTTTCGTCAGCGTATGTCGGGAGGTAAATCTATGGAATGGCAGATTGAAGGCCCAGTTATTGTCAGTTCATTAAAAATCCTAAATCGTGTGGATACTATCATAACTAGGTTCAGAATCATGGCTATTACTTAAAGGGCCCATTTTCTGATATACGTTTGTTATAATGTTGTTTCCTAATCAAAAACATACCCGGAGTTGTGATGTCATGTGGTAATGCAGGAAGTACTCCACTGTGTTTTTAAACTCCAAACACCTTCACTAGTATCATTTGGATAATTTCAGTCCTGGATTTGCCAATCTCTACTGAGCTAAAGGTAAAAGGAGCTGTTAACATAAACTACTGCTTCATTACATCACAAGGTGGAATTTTGAGCTTTGGAGATGTAGACAGACATCTACAGGATTACTCAAACACGTGAATAAAACAAAACACCACTCCAGAGGTTTCTGATAGAGTAATGACATTCTAAAATGACTTAAAGCTCACAAGAGTCAATTTTGTGTAATTATAGGACATTTCAAGGGCAAAACTACTAGATGTAACCTTTCTGTACAATGTATATTTTTGAAAAGTTGACAAAATGTGTCTTAAATTCTGCAAAATGTTTTCACAAGCCCCTTTTTTTCCAAATATAAACCATACAATATTTTGAAAACAGCGTAAGTACTGCCGGAGTATAATATGGAATTAATGAATATCATCAAATAGTTTAAGCTATTTAAGTAGTTCTGATTACAATTTGCCTTATCTTCTAGTTTCAAGTTGACAAATGTCATTCAAAAAATAGAATTCTTTTTGTTTATCCTTCTGTGTCCTGGTTTGTCATATGGTTAACTTGACTCTTAATACAGCCCACGCATCTGGAGTACTTTTAGTTCAAAGTTTGCTTGAATATAAACACTAAAAGGGACATCAGCATTTCTGCTCTTGTATATTTACTCTGACCACACACAGATAGAAGCTGTTTTGTTTTTGTGGCTCAGATGACTACATATGTTCAATGAGATTTCTTGTTGCCTTTGAGATGTTTCCCAATCTTACAGTAAAAGCCATACCAAAATGCACAACCACCATTAAATCAGCAGAGAGTTTCCTAAAAGTATTATATTTAGATAAACCAGAGATATTTTTGGACAAATTTAAGAATATAGAGAAAAAAGAAAAAATCCACTTATGAGAGAGATTAAATCACACATTTTTACAAGCAGTTGTTGCAAATGTACTTAATTTTCGACTGTTTTAAGCTGTGGAATAAAAATGTTTTATTATGAAAGTAAAATGACTCATGTTTTTTTATTTAATCTTGGCAGTTTAGTGTTGTATTGGTATTGGTCTCGTGCATTGCAAAAGGCTGTTTGTTTTCAGTAGCAGTGTAGGAATTAATAAATTTGCATTATGTTTCTGGTGGAGGTTTCGTCACCTGTTTGCCTCCTGAAAATGCCATTGCTTTTTATTTCAATGCACAATATACAGAAGTACAAACTTTTTATCTTCAGTGTATTCAATTACAGGCTTTATGGCAAAAAGTACTTGTTTCTTGTGTCTCTCCTCCTTTCCATGGAGATTGACATTTTATGCTATTTTGTGGAACATTCCAGCAAAACAACCTCCACAGAGAAAAGATTTCTGACCCACTACTAAACTAAACTGAAAACTTTTGTCCAATGTCAGTGATGGTATCTTTTCCCACAGTTACTAAAAATGACCACAAGATGGCACTATTGCTTTGAAGACTTCGACTAATATCAAGCGAGTCATTAAGATACTGTGAATTGTAACCTATTCTGAATGTTTATCGATGAAACTATGTCTTTACCCTATGTCACCACAAGATGGTGCTCTGCCTTTAGAAAAATAAAAGTCAACCATATACAGTACAAGACCGACCTAGGCAGCCAAGGTAAGAAGATGGAAACATTTTGGCTGTTTACCTCAACTATGCAATAAAAAAAAGTCTGTTAGTCCACTTCTACAAACCTCCTCAAGAGCAGTTTTACGAAGAAGGAAATGACAAATGAAATCTTAATCAGTATATTATTAGAGTACCCCATTCAGAGGTAATGCAATAGTTCCTGGACATAGATGGGGATTTTTGGAGCCACTGGTGCCAAGCGCATGTCTCTTTCTGCAGATTCAGTCATCCCCGGTCCCACGGAGACTTGTGGTGCACCAGATCATGAAAAAGCCCCTTCTGATGCTGGAGTTTTTAGCCTGAAATCGAAATCTGCGGTCAGTAACCTGCATCATACTGACCAGCAGAGCCAAGGTGACCCAGCCACACCGGACACAGCGGCTTTGGGGGCATAACATTGTCGCCAAACTGAATTCATTTTAATATTTTACCACAAAATTGGGTAATAATGACGATATACTGGGCATCGCTGTGTCACTTTACCATCTGCTGTTTGACCATAACAAGGAATCTCTCATTGTGGAAGAGACCTACAGTATACTTCATATTATGCCCTGGATGTAACTATCATTAACATGTCATTAGAACTTAGATTTAAACAAACTTTACAGATCCTAGAGGTGGTATAGTAGCCAAAATTGGAACTCAAGTAAGAGTTACGTTATTTCAAAATAACATTACTCAAGTAGAAGTACAAAGTAGTGGTCCAATAAATGACTCAAGTACAAACAGTCATTTATTATTTATTTATTTATTTATTTAAAAAAGAGCAACTTAAAGAGTAACTGTCAGAACATAACATCTGATTTATAATTTGAAGTAAATGTAATCTGAAGGACAAAACATTAATAATGCACAAAATCTGATGTTTTCAAAGGATAGACACAAAAATTTGAAAAGCTTTCTTATATTACTCAAGTAGAGGTAAAAGTATGCTGCTACAAAACTTTCTCAAATGAAGGTCACTGAGTAAATATAGCTGACTACCACCCATCTCTGACAGATCCACAAGGGAAATGATTTGGACACAGTAGCCTGCACATTACAATTTAATAACCAAGAACAGGAAATATAAATGTTACCAAAATTCAAAATAAGCAGCAAAAATGGTAAGAGACATGTTAAAATAAGTCACAGTGATACGAAATAAACTACTTCCCCATGACCCTAATAATTACCATGAAAAAGAAATGAATGTTTCAGGTGTTCACAAAGCTAAAGCACAAATAATCAGTCCAATTTATCATAAATGATTCACAACTAAACCATGAGAAGTTACATTTTGGAATCTATGAGTAATAAATGCAGCTGTTATATGAAAGCTGTCATATAACAGCTGAGTGAACATGTTTTGGTGAAAACAAACTTAAAGCAGGCCTATTACTCAAAATGGACTTTTCACAGCTTCAAACCGTTATAACTGTTATGGTGAGGGGAAACAACCTTCACCATTTACTCACTCAAAGTTGTATTTGAGTGATTTGTGCATGTTTGAGGAATATTTAATCACTGATTTCATACAATTTTCCCAAACAACTCATATTTTCCATGCTACCCGTACACACTCACTAACTTTGTTATCCAATTTTATTTTCTTAACGTCATTTGGCAGCATTGCATAGTCATTTTTGTATTAATAAAAAAAATCTGCTGTTCGCTAGTGTGATCTGCAGCTATACATGTGAGGTGCCAACAACTTCATGGCTCTTATTGTAATGATGTTTACAGCAACATCAGCAACAACAGTTTTCTAACTCTGAAGTCAGTGGACTTGTTTCTCTTATTAAGTTTTTTAAGGTGAATATTGAGATTTAAAATGTAAAAATGATAACATAAAGATCCATGGGTGTGATAGATTTTAGCTATTTACCAGACTCAAACACAATAGGTCATCTTTAAAGGTGCACTATGACATTTGGTGGAGCCACTTGCTTTTCTACTTGGAGGGTTTTGTTCTAATGCATCCCACGATATAGCATTCAATTGTTCTATGTCCATGGTAAGATCTGTTGAGTGGTAATCCTGTTCACAGTAAGAATGCATGTTTTTCAAATAGTTTTATTTATTTACTAATTTATTTTTCAGATTGAATTGCATATACAAAGCCAAATCATCTCCAGGGACCCCACACCAGAAAAGTTAGTGCTTTTAATTGATCATTTTTAATTACTGCCATGGTTAAGGAAGCTGAAAATACAAAAATAGTTAAAAGCTAATAAGTTTAACAAACACCCTCAGTGGTTGATTACCTAACTGCTAATATTACCTAAAATAAAAAAGAACAAATTTTTTATTTTTATTTATTAAGGAAGTAACTAACAGCTTTTCAAGATGTTTTTGTCATACACCACTTCTACTTCCCTTTTCAACGGAATAAATAGACTTGCATTTGAAATTGATTTACCACAGACGTTACTCATGAGGATGTTTATGAGACGGTGTAGGATAATGACACCCAATCGTTATGCAAAGACGCCGTGTCCAGAATAGACAGAAATCCCACTGGGGTCAGAACCTTGGGGCCGGTTAGTGGGCCCAGACGTGTGCATGAGAGGCTTGTTATTCTAGCTTTAGCTGCTAATCTTTACTGTCAGTCTTATCCACTTAACGCTGGCCAAAAGTAAGTTGTCTGACACTACGGGGAGTGGGTGAGTGACGGTAAACTGCACTGGTGAACTAGCTGACCTCGTGGGCTGACAGGTGGCACCATGTCCAAGTTGAGCCCAGCCAATAGAGGAGCTAAGGACAGGTGGGTTTCAGGGCTTAGACTGCCGGGAAGGTGTCTGCGCATGGGTTTAGTACTGCTAGTTAGTTACCACATTAGGCAACAGTAGCTCAGTTGGTAGAGCGTTTCTCTACTGATCCGAATGTTGGTTTTTGAATCCCCCTCTCTACATCAGCATCATTGGTTGAGCGGTCAGATCCACTGACCCACAGATGAATGCTGTTGTTGTGCAAGATATTTAACCTTGCTCGCTGCCAGTGTCTGTGTACACTGCTGTATGAGTGTGTGTGTGAATGTGTGAGGGATTCCTTGTTGTAAAGCACTTTGAGAGCCTTGAAGGTGGAAAAGCACAATATAAAAAATGTCATCATTTACCATTAGAATGTATAGCCTATAAATGGGCACAAGTGTTCCAAGAAGCAAGTGAGTATGGGTGGAATTTGGCTCCATCGACTCTCACTACAGTTAACTAATTAATGAAAAATGTTGGCCCTCCACTCTGTAACTACTGCTAATGTTTGTATTAGTATTGTATTGTACTAGTGTTTTTATTTTGTTATTTTGTCCCTAAGACAAGGTATGAACATTAATGATGCATTGTGTAACTTTTCCGGTAGAGGGTCTGTCAAATGCTTTTCTCCATGAAGATGTTATTATTTTGTCTGGAATGTTTCACAGTACTGGATTAAACCATTCTATCTTCATAGAGGTAAGATCTGTGGAGATGCAACCCTGCTCACAGTCAGAATTCCTGTTTTTCTAGGTATTTTTGAACCACCTGTAACTGAATAAATGTAGAGCTGTTTAATGTCATACTGTGGAACATTCCAGGTAGAACAATGGCATATCAATAGAAATAAGCACTGTGTAACCAAAAAGCTACATATTGCACCTTCTTCATCTATCTAAAGTTGCCCCAGGTTTGATTGACAACGTTGCTATCCATCTGCCCCCTGCCAAACCAGTGGTGCAGGTGGGAAGTAGCCAGGCTGGCGCCACCTTTCTAGTGGCTAAGTCAGGAATCAAAATACAATAGACAGTTTGCAAAAACCCCAGAAATGTGAGTTCAGGCACCAGCCAATCAGTGAAGAGCCATATATTCTCTGCTGTCAACAATTCCCAAGATTGAGGATTTAAAGCCGGAACAAAGAGAATGTTTAGTTAATTTCATCAAGAGGAAAGACGTTATTGTCCTTCTTCCTACGGGATTTGGGAAAAAGCTTAATCTACCAGTTAGCCCCATTAGCGACTCATTACATATGTGACTACCAAATTGCAGCGATTGGTTAAATGATAAAAAGTACCCGCCTGCCATCGAGGAAATGAATTCTAACACTGCGAGGTCAGATGGTTTCTACAAAGTGAAACAAAGTAAAACCAGCTGATGAATCAGGCCACGTGGGAAGAGGCATTGCCTTCGAAACCCTTCTCCAGAATAGCTTTTGGTGGCTATGACGCACACGCTCAGATTTTCAAATATGGATTTTGGCTCCAAAGTAGCTGTTATAACTTCTAGCCTCAATTGTTTTAATTTAGAGACTCATCAGGTTGCCAAAATCTGCAATTGTGGCAAAGGTTGTAAGGGTTTTTTCTTTGTAGATTACTGGAAGATCTGTGAAATTGCTTTCCCGATAATGCGTTG